GATCTACAGTATCTGGTGCAACACACGCATGATTCTAGTGTCTGAAACCAACAGTCTTTTCCCATAAGGCGATGGTAGGTTCAATGAGCAAAACACTCCAAAACACTATCATTAAACTAGTGTTATTTAAAGCTTGTGTCGAACACAGTAAATAAGGATATTTTCCTTAAGGTTCACATCACAGTGCTTCTTAACAAAGTCTTCCCTATCATTTAAGGTTGACTGAACTAAACAGTGGCCGATGAGTCGTTCATCTAAAACCTGAATAAATGGTTTAGCCAACATGAAATCCTGCTACATCAAGTATGAGTTGAGTATTTTGATGCTGAATAAGGTTTAAATCTTCTCAATGATTCATAGCTTGTCAATTGGTAATAATAGTTTATGTCCTGTGACTTAGTATAGAATATAGGTGTTCAATACATGCAGACATCTTTATTAATGAATCTTCGAAGTGAACTGACAATACTGAATCACCATTGTTACTGCCATTGTCAGCTCATCTGAACAGCCCCAAAAACAATCATAATCGGACAACTCTGTCGTAAATAGTAGGCTGCTCAGCTGTTAACCTTATGTACCGTGCATGTATAGGCGAGTATTTTATTGAACTGAATGTGACAACATGGATTAGCAACAGAATGTTGAATACATACAAAGAAGAACAAGTACAAGTAATGGTAGTAGTAGTAGTAGTTGTAGTAGTCGACTGGTTTATTAGAAGTAAGACAAGAAGAGAAATGTGGACAAATGGAGGCAAACACATATTATTTTCCACAAGAGCCGACCGACAGAGGTGTTGGCCACCGTAGCTTCTTCTGCTTGCTGCAAGTGATGGTGCATTTATGTGGTGTCGGAATAATCAGAATTTTTTCTCCTTCAATGCAAAAAGAGAAATAAAGTGTACATGGGACATATAGAAGTATACAGAACTTTGGTTTGTGCAGAATCACTAATTGTATACATATTTAGCCAACATGTAATTTGTAATATGGTCAGTATTACTAATAACAGTTTGCTGTCCATGTAGAGTGAACTAGATGTCTGCATGCGGCACATGAACACACACTGAAGTCGGAAGAACGACTTCACAACTCAGGAAAAGGGACCATCCAAGGAGCACATGAATGCACCATTAACCGCTGGTTGCAATTTGCAATCCTCACCACTAGATGTCACTAAAACTTACAAACTGAACCTTTAACGTGCATTATGGGAATGACTAGTTTCATCGTTGGACTCTTGAGCATAGATGCTCACAAGTCTTTGAGCTAGAGTCCAAGTCAAGCCTCAAATCACTCATGGTTATAATGAATGTTGTATCACCTGCTGCATAAAACTGCATAGCTATAAAGAGATTCTGTAACTGTAACCTGTTTTTTACTTACGGAACACAACCATATAATGTGCAACGCAATTAATGACAACTTATTAACTACTATAAGTCAACACACCCTGCAGACTCTCAAACCCAGTGTAATAAATAAAACTGCAACATTGCATAATCAATAATAAACCTGTAACCTGTTTGCCAACGTTAATAATTAACGTGATGGCAGCCAGTAAATGATTACGTTAAACTACTACCACAAGTTTGGCAAGTAAACAAACACTCACTCATCTTTTCATAATGAACAACAGTCGTAATTAAACTCCGGTAGGTCGTAGCTAAAGCAAGAAGCAATGCTGAGCTAAACATGTTTACTAACCTCCAGTTACTAACCTATTTTGCATTCAGCGCTTCTTTGTTTGGGCCTTGTTGTATGAAGTTTTAAAGCAAAAGTTTACAATGAATGGCAAAGCAGTTGTCGGTGTTTGTTGTCCTCTCTCACATGCGGCCGCGCGCAGCAGATACTACGTGTTACGTAGGCAGGTTATAGGTAACGCAGGGTGGGGAATAACAGCAAGCTCATCAGATGTTTCCTATAAATAAACATTGTTCACGAGTCCCGCACCTTGAGTCCAAGTCAAGTCTGAAGTCTTTTGAAGACGAGTCTCAAGTCGAGTCAGAAGTCACTGTCTCAAACTCGAGACCCATCTCTGCTCGTGAGTTTCAGTGTTCAGGAGAAAACAGCCAGGTCTGGATTCATTTTAGCTGTGGGCAGGTATTCCCTGCAGACCCATCGTCCACAGAGGGTACAAGTAAAATAGATGCTTCATATTGACCTGCCCATAGTTTCTCATTTTAACAGAAAAGTTTGGTGGGCTGAACATAGAATAAGAAAATTCAGTCTGAATGCATTTTATTCATGTTCATTCACACTGTGTCAGCTGACCAAGTTTAAAACTTGGAACAGAAACAAATTCTTTAATATTCTCTGTTTTATTTTTAGACATACCAGCAACATGGCTCCATGGATGGAAATGTCAGTCCAGACTGAAATATCTCAACAACTATGAAATGGAATGAGCTCTTTTATGTAAAATGTTATACACACTGACTTTGGTGATCTGTCTTTCTAAGGATAGCTTTTTCATGGGGCAGCAGTAATCCAGACCGTGTGGACTAGCTTGGAAACCAGAGGGTGGCAGGTTCGAGTCCAGCACGGACCAGTCAAGATATCCTTGAGCAAAGCCCTGAACCCCTGACTGCCCGGGGCGCCTGACTACGTGGCAGCCCCCTTGCTCTGACATCTCTCCTGGTAATGCATGTGTATAGGTCCTGTACAGGTAGACAACAACTCTTAGATGCATTGTCATGCAATTTGTACATTAATTCATGCCCCCTCAGTTCATATAGCTTCTTCTGGTTATGTTGTCAAATATGAACATAAGGTGCATAGCCGATGTCCATTCACATGCTGGCATGCATTTGGCTCATTGATTACAGTGCTTAAGTCACATTCTTTTATACCAATCACGTTGAAAGTTCAGCCAAAGTCTTAGTTCAAGTAGCACTCGAACATATAACCCCTAAATGTAGAGGTGAGGATTTTCAGTTGCAGCCTGCATTCAACTTTGTGATATAGAATGGCAGAGCCTATACACAAGTGCACATAC